AATTTCTTCTAGATTAATTAACGGAATTAGTGCTGCTGTTCCAGAAGGAAGGAACAGTTTATAGGGGATTTATTAACTTCAAATGTCTCCAAAAAAAAAAACCTGGGCCTCAACACGACATTTCAGAAGTGCAGTGCCACCAAACATGACATTCGTATTTGTCGGTCCTTCAACAATTTTCTGCAGCGAATTTGCACAATTGGAAATGACGACCAAAAGGCACAGAACTGACCAACTCATCCCTGCAACATTACTCTTAGATGCTTCGTATTGCTTTCTACAATAGACAGCATTTTTCACACTAATTCGCAACTTGGCCAAGAAGTGAGGAAGAAAAGCCTCCACCTGTAACATGTTTAGCTTCCCTCGAAGAGGTAGAATTACTGATTACAAGAATCACTTTGCAAACAGTTATGCTCACATTCACGTCTCTAACAAGTCCTCATAATCACAAATTTTCATTGCTAAACTTTAAAACGATCTGCAGCTTTCTTCTTCGCTTAGCCAATGGGGCACTGTTTGCAGCAGTTTTAAGTTTGCGTGAAGCATGTGCACAAAAAACGATGCTTTAGGTCACACAGCTGGAATTGACGTGTGGCAACAGTCACTGTTTTACTGCGGCCACTAACTACTAAATGGTATCAGTATGATGTGCAAAAATCATATCGGAGAGCAAGAAGCTGCAAAGAGAAGGCACCAACAAAAAAAAAGAAGAGTGTCTGAGCTCGGGATGTGAAAATAATCATAATTTTTCCAAATGTAGCAAAAACTTAACTTCGCCGCGACGGTTTCTTGACGCATTCAGTACGCCAAAAATACAGAAAATTCGGACTTGTAGCTTACTTCGTATCAAAATGCAAAGGTCAGGGCAAACAGAGGAAGGGTGCTATGGACTGTATTTAAAGAACCAAAGTTACGGATGTCGGAAGAAACAAAAACAAATGCAGAAAATTGGTCAAAGGTGAAAAGAGTGGCCAGATAAGCAAAAAAAGTTAAAGGTCCAGAAATTAACTTTCTGAAAAACTTTGTCCAAGCAGGAAAATTTTTTTACTACCGAAGGCACACAAAAGCTAAGGAAACGCAAAGTTTTGTTAAACTAAATGCGAAATATAGATTAAAGGCAGCAGAATTTTATCAAACGGTTGCCAGATTTAGCAAAATTGATTAGAGAACACAGAATACAACCTGAACGAGTAGAAAACCCAGCTTAAAAAGCAAAAATCTAATTAAATGGGTGCAAATTTAGTTAAATCAACAAAAAACTACTAAACTTTGTTAAAAACAAGAGATATTTCCAAAAATATCAAATTTAGCAACATGTGTTAAAAGCTAACTTAAAATTAGCAAAAGAGTTGAAAATTTCTGTCGAAAAGAAGGCTAAAATTAAAGCATATTTCTCCCCTTTCTTCGGTAGTGCTTATATAGCATCTTCGAACAGTACAATTAAACAGTATTACTTAACTGGAAAAATACAAACAAGTCTGAGATAGAAAAAAGGCACAAAGCAACTTTCGAGTAGTCAATAACACCTACAACGCTGAAGACAAAAGCTCCAAAGTTATAATTTTACAACGAACGCTAAAAAGCCATAACTTCGGTTTTCAAGTTACAAGACTGACAAGAGTTTGCATCTGGGTCAGAGGCTGTGAGTCTGATTTAAACTTATGGGATTATTACAAAGACAAAAGCTATGTCCCCAAAGTTTCAGCTTCCTGGTTCGCGTAATCCAAAGCCGATTTACGCCCAAAAATACATGCACAT